CACAAGGTTCGTGGTCTCGGGGAAGAAGAGCGTGAGGCAGCCACTGAAGATGGCGGCGCAGGCAAAGAGAATGGCGGGAGCGTTTGCATAATACTTGGCCTAAATCAGAAAACCGAAATTGAGTTGAAATAGAATTTGGGAAATGTGAGCTATGCCTTGACATACCAGCAGCGGCGTCTGCGGCGCCAGCATGGAGCCAAATCTGCCCATCATCGAGCAGAAGCTGAGCAGGCTGTTCCTCAGGTTGGTGGGAAAGATCTCCGAGGCAAAGAAGTAGAGCACCTGGAAGCTGGCCGTGATGGTCAGCTTGCCCACCAGGAACAGCACCAGCTGCAGTGCCTGCTGATCGCCTCCAGCGAAAATGGTGCCGATGCAGCAGATGCCACTGAAGATCATCAGGCCGCACAGCGAGTAGCGTCTGCCAAAGCGATCCATGATGAGCAGCGGCATGAAGAAGCCCGGAATCTCCACAAGCGCAATGTACGCAAAGTTATTATACTTATCGCCATCCAGGAGCACAACATTCAGGCTCAGCCCATAGTAGACCAGCACATTGACAATCCAGCAGAGCGAGCAGTTGGCAATGCGCCATTTGAAGTTGCGGAAAGCCTCGCGAATGGGAAACTTGCTCTCCTCCGACTGCTGCAGCTTGTCCTTGTTGGCGATGACCAGCTTGTCCAGCACACTCTCCGACAGCTTGCGCTTGTTCACCTTGGCCGCGCGGCGCAAGATGGCGCGGGCACGCTCCTCCTTGCCGACGCTGAGCAGCCAGCGCACACTCTCGGGCAGTATCCAGAAGTAGGCCAGCAGGATCAGCGACGGCCCGTAGGTGATGCGCAGCAGATTGCGCCAGTTCTGGAAGCCCTTGGCGAACATAGCCAGCGCCACCTCGCCCACGGCATAGAACACGGTGATCACGCTGCAGGCGAGCACCCGCCGCTTCGGCCCGACCAGCTCAATGCCGATGATGAAGCACGTGGAGTAGAGCGTGCTGCTGGTCAGATTGTCCAAGAACTCAAAGATCAGAAACCAAACATAATTGGGCGAATACGAGCGCACAATACCCAGCACCGCCCCAAAGATGCCGCCCAGCGCAATGGAAAAGCTGCGGCCATAGCTGCAAATTAAACAAATTAATCGAATGTTTATGGAAAATTTCCAGATTTAGTGGTTTTCATTCTCACCGATCAGCCACAACGCCTCCCAGAGGTATGCCAAAGAATTGCCCCAGATTATTGATGGTGCCGACCAGCGATAATTTCCACTCATCGTCGCAGTAAATTCCAAACTACAAAAGATCATTTAGAATAACTTAATACTCTCTCTGATCCATCTCGAGGAATTCTTAATGAAAAAGTTGCAATCATTTATAATAATAAATTGGCACTACAATGGTTCCATTTCGCAGGTCGTTATTCACTTAAGTCGTTTGTTCATCTGTTTATCAGCTCTTTATGTGATTTGGCTCCATTTGCATATCTAATCTAGACTCGTTATTTACATATGTATGCTGCAAATTGCCATTAAAATTGCCCCTGAAAATCCGAGCTTCTGCTTTGCGGCTTGTGGCACATTTATCTTGCATTTGTCAAGGCCAATCAGTCGAGTGATAAAACTATGAGCTTATCACAAGAACTATTCCTGGTAAACAACATTAGGTACTACCTTCACAATAATATTATTAAGTGTTTACAATTGAAGAAGAAATTAATAGGCCTATGCTGACTTCCTAATGCCCACTGTCTCAAAAAAAATTGTATTGTGTTTTTTACTGATTCATATATTCCTTATAAACTATCTCTATAATGCATGTATATAATTATTTATTTCTGTTGCCAGCTCTACAACTATGGCAGATATAATACTATTGCGATTCCTCGCAATTCCAAGAATCTATAGAGTAGCTTTCAAGCAATTTCGACTTTATCATGCCCCCACTCAGCGTGGCTATAATAGATATGAGCATATACATATTTCATATTCCTCTAGTTTTAATAGCGCCATAAATATTAATATAACGTTAAACAAATAGTGTTAAATCGCATTAGGGTATGTACGAGAATATATTTGATATTTACGAACGTGTCTAGAAATGATTCAATGTAAGCTTCATGCTTTTTTTTACTTAAAAATCTAAAAAATATATATTATAAAACCTAAATGATTTTATTTTGAGCAAAATGAAGAAAAAAGCTTAGAAAATAATTTCAAGCCTAAATTATAAAATATAGTTAAAAGTAGTAAAAAGTAATTACTTGTTAAACAATTAAACAATTAAAATAATTTATATATTTAAATATATAGAATAATATATATCCAAATTTATAGGCTATAAAATATTTATTTAAAAAAATTAAAAATAATAAAAAATAAAATAAATAATAATAAATTATATTATGTGGAAATTTATCTATGTAATTAATAATAATTATTTAATTATATCTTATGCGTTCCTCAATTATGATAGAAATCTGTTCTGTTCAGGTTCTTGTCATGCTTATAAAAAAATGAAAATTAATTAAAAACCAGACATATCAAAAATTGAGAAAACTTGCTTTTGTGGCATAGGAAAATGTGAAGAGAGCAACTCAGATTTGTACTTGTAGAGCTTGTAGAGCTAAAATAGATAGTGATAGGGCCATTCAGACTATACGAACTTGATTATATTTGAACAAGTGTTTAATGAGCAGTGAAAGGCTTACAGCTAGCCGTCTGGCCCATGCTTATCGGCGATGAAAATTTACAATTACTACAGTTTTGTAGGCCCCTCTGCCAGGGTATGCGATCAAAGGTGACAGCAAGCATATAGAGAGGCCGGGCTAGTCATTGAACTTGTGATAAGGTAGCCAAATAGTTGCCAGAAAACTAGCCAACCTGACTCAAGTCTTGCTTGGATCACTGACATGTGCAGAAAATCGGATGACTTATTATCAAAGTCCATGCCTGGCGAGAGTCTGGTGTTTATTGTGGGCCCTGGCCTGATAACTGTCGGAGCCCCCAACATCGTCGTCTCGCTGACGTGGTTAATCGCACAGCAGAACTTTGATACTCACGTCATTGGAAATGGTTAATTCTTGATCGCGGAATACGAAATCATTGTCGGCGCATCGCTCGGCATTATCCCTGTTGTAATTACTCGCCACGCAAATGTCCGCAGTTTGATTCCAGCTGGACAGCTCTTTGTTCTCATAGCGTCTGCACTTGTCCAAATCCTTGCCATTCTTTGGTATGCTATACTCTGTCCAGGGCTCCTCGTAACGGCTGTTCGGCCCGTCGCACTCTGTAATGTTACATCTGTTGATTTGAAGAGTTTCGTTTGAGACTCGTCTCACCGACCAACTGACTAAGCTCAACTATAGTTCACCTGTGCATCAAAGTTCCGGCCGTGAAGACGTAAGTCACCGAGAACATGGCATGGAACATCATCGGCAAGCAGATCAGCAGGAAGATGAACAGCTGAAAGCGACCGAACTGCCCAATGTGCTTCAGTATGGCATCGAGGGTTATGTCCTCGGGATCGGGGCCATTTGCTTGGGTGGCCACCTCCATTTGGGGAATGGTCGCAGGTGGCGACTCCTCGGTGACCGGCATTGATCCCAAGTTCTCTTCACAAATTTGTGCACAATTAATGAACTATTCCGTGTTTATTTATACGCGTGTGTTTTGAATGATTTCGCTTTCTTCTTATTTTTGCCAAGTTTATTTTTAACTGCGAACAACTCTTACGTTGTTCACGGCACGAAAACACGAGACACACTGCGAGCGTCGGATCGCAACTACAGGGCGAACGCCCAACTGTTGAGTCAATCTATGGTGTTTCGCCCTCTCTCGCTCTGTCTGTTTCTCTCTCATGATCTCGGCAGAGCGCCGCCTCGGGCGAATTGCTTAAGTTGGCTCTCATTAGGCCCTGTCCTGACAGATTAACTACGCGAATCTAGACATTGGCATTCTCTGCTTTGATTAGATTGCTCAATTTTATATAGATGTTAAGCCTATTCAGACTGCAATCAAAGATAAACGACTGATTTCTTTTCATGTACATACGCGTGATAAGCTGAAATGTGTAATTAATGACGTGTTCTACTAAATTAATTAATCAATTCTGAAAATACTCTATTATCAGTCGTATAAAGTATTTATTATGCTTTTTTTTATGCCGATATTTTTAAATGTTTCTGCCATTAAATAAAAATATTTTCATGTTTTTAGAACATTTTTAGATATAAAAAATATGTATACATCACAATATGTATATGTATAATATATACAATATTTGTTCTATTTTTTATTTTTTTATTTATTTATTTATTTATTTTTTTTTTACATTTTGCTGAGCTGCAAACTTTAAGGTAAAAGTAAATTTTTATTATGAAGTAATATAAATGAATAAATAAGTCTCTTAAAATTCATTGCTCTGTTTATGTGCAGAATTAATTAACAAGTATTTTATTGCACTTAAATATTTTGTGTAATTGTTTGTTCTTTAATTATAACTTTTTTTTTTATAAAAAATTTGCAAAGTAGAAATAATTGTAAGCGTAAAGTTTGTTTTGAATTAATATTTTTTTAATTTATAGTAACAGCCAAATTATGAGGTACTACAATTTATTTGTTATGTAAATAAGTATTTTACTACATTAAAATCATATATTAATTTGTAGCTGGGGTGAAAATTATGATTTATAATTAGAATTTTAGTAAATATTTACATAAATAAATATATATTTAATATATAATTCTATATCAATCGCACTGAAATCATTTACAGCATTTCAATATTATTTATGTGTTCCGCTGCTCAGACTGACATTTTTTCCTTTCATGTGAAACATATTTTATATTCTGTTCACGTGTTATCCGCGTGTTGTTTCCAAAACAAAAATGTGATCTATTTTTATCAAGCTTTTAAGAGAAATATATATAAACTATCTGAGCATTGCAACTTTTAAGCATTTTATGAGCTCCAACTAATTGCTAATTGCACTGACACTTCCCAGAGATAGTTATACGGAACCGGTTTGGAGCCGGATATTTATTTAATCACTTTCATATCTGACAAGTCATTAGAATAACAATGCGATGGAAATTGGATTTTCCTCATGGGGAGCCGCAGCTTGGGGTTTTTAGCCTTCTCCCGAATCGTTTGCGCTTCACATTGTAGCTCGACACGTGCTTTTGGCATAGTGTACGATAGTCATGCTCGCCGCCCGCCTTATCGACGCAATCAGCTGTGTTAACAAATCGCAGACCCCAACGACTATCACATATTTCAATCAAAAATGCTAATAGTACATTATCAAATGTTATAGTAGTGCAAACTGTTTATAAATGCAAACAATGCTCCCGCTCTGCCTCTCTTTCTGTCTCACTCTGTATGTGTGCCTACCTCAGTGATGCCAGCTGCGAAGTAAGTTAGATTGTGGATAAAAAAAGGCTAAAATGTAGCATTAAAAATGCTGGACTTACGGCTAGATGAAAAATACATGAAACATACAAAATATATTTGACAATAGTAAATAAAAAATCAAACAATGGCACAAAATATGTATACACGGCTATGTATTTATTTACTTACCTTTTTTATAGTTGCCCCATCTAGTATTTCCTCCAAGTATTTCCGCTGTCTTTCCTCTGAGTGGTTAATGGGCGACTGAAGAAATGCTGCAGCTGCAGCCCTTTATATAGGGCGACTTCCACTCAAACACTAATTCGCTCTCAAATGTTGAGCCCGACGCCAGGTAAGAGTCGCTCCCGTCGGCCTTTAAGTGACCAATCGGAACACCCTCGGCTACTGCATGCATTCTAACTTCGTTTTACTTAAATAGAAACACGAAATGAATGATCTTCGGTAGTTGTTCTTCGGTCCCTGCTATTGTTAGGCAGACAGACAAACAGACATAATTCTGTGAGATAGACAGAGGACATAGAAGCAGTTATATTGGCTAATATATATGTATGATTGATAAAGCTATATGTTGATATACTTCATATCTCAGGTACACTATAACATAACATAACATAACATAAAGCTATTGGCTAGATCTAGCCTGAAATAGGCGAAGCTGGCAACACTGGTCTGTCTACCTTTCTCTCCCAATTTTCTCTCTCTCTCTCTCTCTCTCTCTCTCTCTTCCTCTATTCATTCTCTTAACGTTTTGTTTATGAATGAAACAAAGCTTTTTGTTTTTTTGGCACATTTTATATTTATTGTTGTTATTTTATGAATGGTTCATGACTAAAAAAAATATGAACTTGAAATATGAATAGAAAATATGTTAGTTTTTTTGTTTCCAAAAATATTGTCAAGGCCTAGCGTACGAAATGGACATAGTTATAGGGCAATTAAATGGCTTAACATACTCGATTAACCACGTCAAGTGCCAATTCAATTATCAAATTGGCATGAAAAGTATTTATACCATGGCGCAATATTAAAGTTTTACAAAAACTGGTTTCATTTCAATTTGAATAACATTGCAGCAGTAAAAAAAAAATTATTGGAATTCAAATGAACTGAAATTGCAAAATGTCAACCGCAGCTCAAAACGGAAAATTCAGCAGAGTGCATATACGAGTTCTTAAGAATGAGCTAGATTGCAAAACGTGCATCGACTAGCGGATACCCTGTCGCGTGCTGCTACTGATTATTAATGAAAAATATATGTTCGTTTCACTTCAAATGTAGGACCTAGCATTAATTGTCTTTATCTTAGCTTGATAAATATTCCATATTTGATATTAAAGTGCTAAGGACTCAAAGACCTATAGTAGATTAGAGATTTTATATCGATTTAGCTGTTCGCCTGGATTTAAATATTTTAGTTTGATCTACAATACTACGATAGAGCAAAACAAGGTCTGTTACGACTTCTGCTATTTGTTACCCCTCAGCGAAACCATAATTGCTTCAATAATTTCCATAATTTTCAATGGCTTCTAGGTACAGGGTATTGTAGGTCTCAAAGACTCTGGCACTTGCCTTGCCGATGCTGATCCACTTTCAAAAATAAAACATCTGTTTGCATTTTGTTTTGAATATATCTAAACACATACCTTTATTTAATGAATTCAAAAATTGTGTTTAATTCTGTTTTACTTTTTGTTTTGTTTTCATGTTTCCATGTTGTTTCACACCCAATACATATATAGAAAGTATCCCCAAATATTTTCAGTGTTTCTTTTTGTTTTGCTATTTACTGCTTGGTTTTTTATTTTATAATATTTTTTTGTTTTTTTGTTTTTGTTGGTTTTTTCTTGTATTTGAAGTAAAAATTTGACTCAAAACACATTTAGTTCGAGAACGCAATACATTTAGCTTTGTATTTGGTTTTCTTTAAAATTTTCATTCTGACTTGGCTAAATTTGCAATATACGTGTATTTGTGTGTGTATAAGAGTTTGAGAGTGTGTGAGTGGGGGTGTATATAGATGATGATATGATATATGCAGTGTAACTGACTGATACGTAGTTGAATCTCAACGAAATAAACTTGCAGTATATATATTTTCCTTTTATATATATTATGATGTTTATATGATTAGTGAATAAATACATATGCACTGTGTTAGATTACTCATTATAATAATAATAATAATCGGTTTAAATTCTTCTTAAAATCTATAAATTCAATTATAATGCACTTAACTTTGTGTCTCGCTTTTTATTGCACATGTATGTAAGTGTGAATGTGTGTATGAGTGTGTGTTTGTGTGGGTGTGTAAAACGATGTTAATGTGTGTATGTGTGTATGCTTAATGATTTGTATTTGTCCATATACATACATAGTATATATGTATATACGTTATATGTAAATATTTTTAAATATAATTTTTTATAGAATTGTAAATATATTGTAAATAATGTTTGCTTTTTTTTGTATTATTTTCATTTTTTTGTTTGGTTTCTTTTTTTTTACCATTTTGTTGTACATTTCGCAATGATTTTTCTTTTATTAATATCGCTTTTTTACCGTTGCTTATTGTATGTAGTTTTTTTTTTAAATTATTATTATTATTTATTTAAATGGTTGTTTAAACTTTGTTGTGATTATGTTTTTGTTTTTGGTTTTTGGTATGTTGAGTGCTTAACAAATATGTTTGTAAGTATTCTTGTATGTGAGTGTGTTTGTGTGTGTGTGAGCCCTCTTCTATGGGCAGCTCAGCAGCAGCTTTCATTAACACTTTGCCGACTTAATCAATTCACAACTGATTATAACTACATTTAACAGCTTTTTATCAGCATGCTGAGCCCACAGATCGGCTCAAGCTAGTCCTGTATCTATGCAATGCATTTTTGTTTTGTTTTTGGTTTTATCTGGTTTTACTTTTGTATAGACTGATAGTACACATTTAAGAAGTATTTTTAAATATTATTGTTGTACACAGATAAACAAGTTTTAATTCAATAATCATTCTCTCGAATACCATTACCGTTTACAATCTTTCATTCATTATCGTAGTCTAAAAAATGTATCAGTGCTGCTCTCAAATATTTCAATTTATTCTACAGATTCTACGATCATTTCATATCCAGTTTTCTGTCTCTGTCTGTCCCTGTTTGCCACATACAAAAAGAAGAGTGGGTCTATAAAGAGTTACTTTGTATTCTTTTACTATTTTCTGTGTGTTTGTCTGTGCAATAATCAGAAAAAAACATTGACTTGAGCTCTATCAACTCTGTAACTACTTTTTGTGGGCTAGTATTTTTTCAGTATTTTCCTCAATTGAATTAAATTCTCATTGCGTTTTGGTTTTCTTTTCTATACACATAAAAAAACGAAGCGGTGCTGTTCTCTAAATAGTTTCTTTTACTTTCCTTGTTTTTTTATTATCTATTAATGTTTCAAAATACTTTTGAAAAATTCCCAAAAATTGGTGGTTCTGAAACCAACTGTTTTTTTGTTTTCGTGTGTGTACTTTTCGAATACAGTTCCAAACAAAAACGTAAAAAATCGTCTCAACCCAAAGTCGGCAAACAAAAATTTGCACTACAAATTGGCACTAACTTTTAGTTTAGTTTTTGTCTTTTTACTTGTTTTGCTTTTGTCATATATTTCACCACAATAATAACGCAAATATTTTCATATATATTTGTCCAAAAACATTCAACTATTTATTTGTATTTTGCTTTTCCTCTAGCCGTACATACAAATATTTGAAAATTGTTTCCAATCTCATATTATGTCATTTGTTCATATTTTTTTATTTATTATTGAAGCTCTAGTTTTATGATTGCCTTGCAGTTTTCTACAACTTGTAAATATGGTAATTTTTAGTTTTCATTTAATTACATATATTTGTTCAAATATTTTCTCACTTTAGTATTATAGGACTGTATATTAAGAAAATTAAAATAGAAAACAACATATTTGCAATGAAAAATGAATTATTTAAATATTTGCCTCAAAAGTATGCAACAATTAGTATTTTTTTAATATACCAAATGAAAAGTAAAACTATTAAAATTAACTAGAATTCGTTAACTCGTTCACAAAGCGAATAAAATAATTTGGGTTCGCTCAAAGCATAAAATGGGGAATACATGCTAAGTGATCTTACCAAAGTATCGCATGTATTTCAATTTAGTATTTTGTGTAAACTTTGAACGAGTATTACGCAGTCAGCTACGCTCGACTGCAACATTCTCAATTGCTTAAGAATGAAGTTTGGCACGCATTTCGAAATTAATAAATAGTTTAACTAAAAGTACAGCCGCATCGTAAATATTATTAAAAACTGAAGCCAGTTTTCATTATCTTTTTTTTTAGCTTCTCTCTGATTGTATTTTTCAAAATGTTTTTTTTTTATACATAGTATTTTGTTATATTAGTTGCATGTTTGTGTTGTTGTTGTTGCTGTTTGTTTTTGTATTTATTTTTTTTTTAAATAAGCTCCTTTTAGCGCAATATGAACGTTTAAATAGCTGTCAATGTTATTGGCTTTCAAATGAATTCACATAAATTTGCGTTTTGTTGAAATTCGTATAATTCCTTTGTGTTGTTCCCCCAAAAATAAGCAAAAATTTCACATTGTTTTCTTGTTCTTGTTCTGCTTGTTGTTGTTGCTTAAAGAAAAACATTTTGGCCAGTTGTTTGTTTTCTTATTAGTGGTTGAAGAGTTGTTGTTTTTGTTGTTGTTGTAGTTGTTTTAGTTGTTGTCGTCTTTTGGCACAATTATGCAATACATAAGTAGTACTTAAATGGTTGTCAGCAACTAGTTAAGATATAGATAGCAACAACTAACGCTGGTATTTGTATTTTGTTTCTTTTTGTTTAGTTTTTTGTTTTTGTTTTTTATTTTATTATAATTTAATCTTATATTTTAAATATAAGTTGATCCCAATTGTTCAGTTTTATCAATTTTTACTCTGCATTTTCATTCTTTTTCAAATAAAAGACAGATTGAGAGAGACTTATGAACTAATTATCCCATTTTCTATTTATTTTATTTTATTTTTTATTTTATTTTATTTTTTTACGAATACTTCAAATTGTTTCATTGGAAATGCAATTGTCTTTATATAGTGAATTGCTATTATTTATTTTTAATAATTTTTACACATATACAAGTACAATAATAAACAGTTTGTAAGTCGCATATATGTGCAAAGTGCATTAACTATTTCCTTTTGGTTTTTGTTGTTTTGTTTTCGCCAATTACAATTCCAATTCCAATTCTCTAGAGATATTGTCTGTCCAATGATCATGTTGGAGAGTGCATTCTATGTATTTCAACTTTGTTTATGTATGTGTCTGTGTGTGTATATATATTTGTATATATGTATGTAAAGTATGTATGTAGTTAATCGTTTGATCTATATAATTTATTGGTTAAATGTTCTTTTTGGTTTTCATTTTTATTATTATTTAATTTCAGAGAAACCTTAGCTGTTTCGTATATGTATGTATTTACTGGCAATACGGAAATCGCCCTCTATTTTCCCTTTTCAATTGCTTTGATGAATTGGAATACACGTAGTTACTTTTTCTATCTGGCATTGAACCATTCAATATAATGCTGCAACAAAACGGTATACGAATAATATTATACATACACATATATAGATACATATAAACATGTAGAAACTGACAGCTGGGAATCGAGAAAATGCTCGATTCACCAATATTCTCTATAGACAAATCCGTTCATTCCCACTCATTAATATGTATGTACATACGTATATATATATTCATTTGAAAAACACAAAACTTTGCTCATATGATATCCCTATCATCTAGTCACGTTTAAAGGCTAAGCATATGTGACAATGACACTAGCTGAAAAATGGGAGGAAACCAATTCGAAATTTAGTTTAGTTTAGTTTAGTATTTAAATAATAATAGCAATAAAAATAATATATTTTCAAATTTCAACTCTCGCCTGAGGCCAATTTCTTTTCGATAAATGTAAATATAATTTGTATTTTTTGAAGCCATTTTCAGCTAATGTCATTGCGTATGATTTCTGTATTACACATGAGTTATATTTTTCAGTTATAGTATTCTTCTTTTTTTTTTTTTTTTGTTTTTTTTTTTTTTTTTTTTTGTATTTTTTACCTAACATTTTCTAACACCAATATTTAGTTAATAAATTTGCGTATTTCTTACTTCAACCCGATTATACCGCTGTGGTTCCTAACACGTTGCCGTTTCATATGTTGTCTAAATTAAAAATTCATCTCATATAATGGTTTTTGTTTTTGTCTTTTATCTGTTCACTTTTCTTTCATTTTGGATATTAAATAAGAATATCTAAAATACCTTAATAATAAGCTTCCATTCAATCTTCTTTTTTATGTATATGTATATAAATATGTTTTTGTTTTTCTTTCATTTTTTTTATCTTTTCCTATATTTGCCTTTTAACAATTATTTTATATATCCGTTCCGTTCCCACCCATTCAAGTGCCTTAAATGCTTTTTCTTCTACAAATGTAGAATTTTCTTCACTTTCATTTCTGTTTAATTTTTTTTTTTTTTTTTTTTTTTTTTTTTTTTTTTTGACACATATTGTAAAATTGTGAGCAAATACATTCAAGTGATTTGTAATTACACTGAGAGAAACATTTATATGTGTTTTTTGCTGGCTAATTGCTTATTCCGGATAATATTTCGGTTTTCGGTGTTTTAATGTTTTTGTTTTTATTCAAATACTACTTGCAGCTAAATTTATTACATAAATTTACCATGTAAATACATAATATATTTTCCGTTCCTTATTATTATTATTTTGTTTATTATTTTTCTCAAGTACTATAACGGGCAACTCTACACACATTGGATGTTGATCTTGTTCTGGATTTTGTCTTCTTCTTTTGGTTGTTGAAACTCGAATAGCTTTGAGCAATTGTGGGTCAAATGTCTCTAAAAGGGATAAGTTCTTTATGTCGAAAGGCTAATATGCATCATCTCACACAAGTAGTATATTTAACTAAAATATATTCATATACATACAAACAAATCACATTGCCCGGCTCTTTGTGGGGCAAGCTCATAACAATGCCGAAGCAGGGAAAATTCTGAGAGAGAGAGAGAGAGAAACTCTGTGGAAGTGTCGAAGGAATGAAAACTCTCATGCCATGTATATCATCATAATAATAATAAGAATAATACGCAGGCCACTCACTGTTTGCATGTTATCGGTTCTCAATCGAGTTCTGTTTGGGGCAAGAAGAAAATTTGCTTGGTTTGGTTTTTAAGGCACCATTAAAATTGCTTTTCTTACACGTATTTTTCCTTTTGCAAATTTACAAGTTTTCAACAAATTGTCATTAATAATTTTTTTACATACACATACACATTAATTAGTAAAAATTCATTTGAAATTGTTGTTAATGTTGTTGTTTTGAGCTATTTTTATACACACACATGCACATAATTAATTTATCCCTTATGTTACAAATAGTCCCATTTTCTATCCGCTGTTAACCCGTCAACGTGCGATCTCCTCATTCTTTATACTCATTCACGACAGTGAAGTGGGTATATTGAGTTTTAGTATTTTTTTTTTTTTTTTTTTTGTATTTTGTTTTTAGTTTTATTAATTTGTTGTAACTTGCGCAAAAAATTTACTAAATATTTCAAATACAATTAAATACAAGTGTACATAATAATTAATTTAATATATATGTATGTATATTTATATATAGATATATATATATATAATTTATTTATATATAGATATACGGGTTTGCTTTCATTTAACGTTCATTCTTTGTTCTTTGTTATTTGTTGTTGTTTCAAAAATGATTGCTTCAAATTGTCATCAGCGAAATATTTGTCTCTAAAATCACGAAATAGTTTCGCTTGATATTTTTTCTCTTTTGCCTGTGTTTGCACATTTTGCTTGATCCTCAATTTGTTTTTCTCTCTTCTTTTCCCTTTCTTGCAGTTTTTTAGTTAATTAAAAGTAGAGAGTGTATGTGTCTTAGTTAATAATGAATTGTTCATTATTATAATTGTTTCATTTTTTTTTTTGTTTTTAGTTTTTATGCTAATAACAATTTTTCCTGTAATCAAGTTATGCTTCATAAGTGTTTTTTTGTTTTTTTTATTAGTATTATTATAATGCAAGAATATATTGCTGGGAATATACGAGAAATACGTCTGCTGATCAATGTATTTCTTCTCACAAAAATAATTGAATGCTCGAAATGTTTTTTCTTTGTTGTTTGTTTAAATTTCAATTCCATTTTCCATTCCACCCTAAATAATTGTTCAAATAATGTATGTATGTATGTAGCTCTGGGATATGTTTTGCCTTTATATGTTTTTGTAGTATAGAATAATTTAATCTTTGCTGATGATTACATTAATTTTGCATTTAAATTGGTTTATTTTATAATGTGGATATGTATGGGTGTTATTAATATATTCCTCTTCTCTTTTTTCCTCTTTTGTTTATGTGTGTATGTATGTTGTTTTTCTTTCTTTTTTATGTATAATTAATTTGTATAATCAAAATTTGACACATTTTTGTTTGCCACAAATATTTTGCGACAAATGTTTAATATTTGTTTTCGAGTTCTTTTTTTTTTTTTTAGCTAACTTACGGTTTGAGTTCTCGGCTACAGTCTAAACCTAACACACATTTTAATTTGTATTTAATTATTATGCTTATGTGTATGTCGTGTGTGTGTGTTGGTATGTGTGTGTGTGTGCTTTGTAACTAAATTCTGTTATTATCGTAATTTGTTTAACAAGCTACAGCTTCAACTCATTCTCGTTTTTTGCTTCTTGCTGCCCAGCCTAAAAGTTAACTAAATCTAAAAAAAAAATAATAAGAAAAATAATAGTAATAATTAAAGTAAGTTTAACATTGAAAATCAGTTTATTTTTTGATGTTTTGTCGTTTTGCGTATAAATTTAACAGCTAATAATAATAAAATTATACTTTAATTGCAATATTAATAAGAATTAAATCCATTTTTCTCATTTTCCATGTAGCAGAAGTCTTTTTAATCGCCGCAAATGTGCTTAAGCATTATATGATTATAAATTTAAAATTTTGTCACCTAATTTTTATAGAAAATCCGAAAATAAAAAAAAAATAATAGTAATAATGTAAACAAATTACACACATTGCAATATGTTATCTAACGAATATATAAATTTGGCTTCAAATGTTACGATCAGTTTTCTTTTTTGTTTTCGTTCTCAATCAACAAATTATAACTAATTTCGAAAAGGCTTTTAAAAATTTAAGTTTAATTTAATTTAATTAGATAATAGTTTCATTTTGTTTTTCTCTTTCCTTTATAATATGTAGTTTAATCAATAAACAGAATTAATTTTGTCCTTCAGTCTAAACATATTCAAAAATCACAAATACAATTTCGATAACAATTACAATAATAAAAATAATAAAATTAATAATTATTATATCAATTAATATATATGTATGTATAATGTAATGCTAATCGCCATATTTTAATGTTGTTTTCATTATTTTGTTTTTGTTATTTTTTTTTTTTTTACCATGTAAATATCTAAACAACAAACATAAGAATTTTTCTGTGGAAATTAACTGTTCTTTTTATTTCTAGTTTTGTGTTGTTTTTTTTTTTTTTTAATTTTGTTTTTTGCTGTTTGGCCTTGGCTTGGCTTACTTTCATAATGTATGTATTTATTTATTTATGTTTATTTTTGTTTCGCCTTATTTTGATGTAATTGTATTTATGTATTTTTTTTGTTTTATTTTTTGGTTATGCACATGCACAATTAGTTGGCTTAAAATTTAACTGCATTTAGAAATTTGCTTTAATTTTTTACTGCATTTTGTTGGTTAATTAATTATTATCTTTATTTTGTTTTCATTTGTTTGTTTTTATTTATTTTTTCTGCTTTGTTGCATTTTGTCTTCATTTTGACTAAGCTTAGAATTAATTGCTGTTCTGTTCTTACTATGAGGGCGCAGCGCCCCAAAAACGGTTTAAACATAATGTTCATTTATATTTCATCTTCATCATCTTAAATTTTTGCATTTAAACTTAATAAAAAATATCATAATTAATAAGAATCAATGAATAAATATAACGTTTATGTATGCTTACACGTCTGTGTGTTTGTGTGTGTATGAGTGTATGTGTGTGTGAGTGTGTGTGTGTGAGTGTGTGTGTGTAATGTGTTTATATGACGATTGATGATTGTTTTAATGCTTATTCTTGTGATTTGACCCTGTCATATGATTTATTTTATGTTTTTCTTTTGTTTTTGTTTTTCTTATTGCTTATAATATAACATTTGACATTCGTTCCCAATATGCCGCATTCCGATGTTGGCTACGTTTGCTGCGGCTCCATTCGATTTCTTTTTTTGTTGCATTTTATTATTGTGTTTATATTATTTTAATGTTTTTGTTGTTTTTTTTTCTGTTTTGCTTATATTTTTCTTTTATATATTTTGTTGTTTGTTGTAGTTGTTGTTTTTGCTGCACTTAGTGTATGGGCGTTTTAACAATTGCACTGGGCGCAATATAATGATAGCCAGGTATGGGCAGTCCAGCGGTCTCCATTGATATTCTGCAAATTAGGAAATAGATATTAGTTCAATATTGTCATTTAGGCTTAAAGCAATGCATTTGTATAATATTATATTTAAATGTTAAATGTTATGCCTGAAATACCTACAAAATTTCTTTCTCTTTACCCATTCCAATTCAGCTTTTGCTTAAATTTCAATAAAACATTTCTAAAATATAATGAAAATGTTTTCGTTTTAGTATATCTTCATTTTTATTACAAACGCAGTTTTTCATTATAATTTTTGTTGATTGCATATAAATATGTTTTGCTTGTTTTGTTTTTCTTTTTTTTTTTTTACTAAGAATCGCGACTAAGGGTAAAAAGCGATTTGCTTTTAAAAATTGGTAAATGTGTGTGTATTTTATTATGTTTTCATTTTCATTCCTCTTTCAATGTATCTATGCAATGAGAAGTTTAGTCTAGAAGTACATTCAATAGAAGAATTTTTATCGCAATTTATTGGTTTTTATTTCTTTCTGTTTTTCGACTCCAACTACTTTGTATAAATGTCGTATATACGAGTATGTATTTTAGGTGTATGTATATATATTTAAATATAAGTTTGTATGTTATGTTTCGTATGCGTGTACATGATTTGGTTATAAAATCGTAAGCCCGCTTAGCTTAAAATAAATCTATTACAATTTGTGTCATTTTCACTTAGTAAATAATAAAAAATCCTTATATCGTATATGCATGTATATGTTTTGTGTAAAGAGGAGAGAAATTTCAATTTCCAAATACTTTTTTTCATTCAACAATCTTTTCACTTAATTTTCACCAATTAAAAAATATTTTGGTTCACAATACAATACAAAATCATAATTATATGGTTATAATAATAATAATAATAATAAGAGTAATAACAAATGTGCGATCGTATATTAAATACAATACAATAATTTAGAAAATATAAAATTATGACTTAAAAACAATTTGATGTGACTTCAAGTCCAATACATAATAATAACGTTTGCCGTCTCGTTCTCTCATTGTTTTCTCTCTCTCTCTCTCTTTCCCTTTCTACAAAGTTCACGCTTAACATTTACGAGTTCATATACTTTCCTCGCTGCCTACAGTTGGCTTCTAGATTATTTTTTAAGTGTGATTTCTATTCAAAAAGTTTTTTTTTCTTTTTAGTATTTTTAAGCTTTTGTACGCTCGTTTGCGTGGATTGCGTCAATTAGAGCGAATTGGTCCATAAAAGTCGTCGTGCCAAATTCTTTTGAGCACAATGCATTGGAATTTTTTTTTTAAATTTAATTTTTAAATTAGTTCTTAATTTCCATTTTTCACATACAATTTTTTTTTTTCTAATTTAAATTTTCGTACAACTTCTTAAAGAAGTTTTCTCTGTTTCTCTCGACACATGGCTGAGGATGGGGAGCTTTATACTTAAGAGCTAGAGCGTAAAATACATTTAGAGCTTAGTTACTAATTGAATAATTAGAGAAAATATGAATAATAATAATAGTTAATCGTAGAGATATATTGGAGAATGTATGTATAAAGGTTTATGGGGATTAGATGACATAGATTTGATATATGTTACAGTGAATGTTAATTAAAGGGTCGAAGGATAATATATATATATGCTTGTATAATGCTAAACCTGTGTTATCGATATTCGATAGTCAGCGATTTTCACTCGGCTGCTCTGTCCCCGATGTCTAATTTGGCAAATTCTATTATGTATGTTCGTATGTCCGATGTAGCTACTACATATAAAAAGGGAATAGGGCGCCAAAAGAACTATATAACATCTAATAGAAGAAAGGGTCCTCACGCTGCATTACGCATTTCACTTGGTCAAAGTTTTGATTACAATACTTGGGGCTAGTTTCATGATTTGTTGCTTGTTTCATTTCCTTGACTATATTCGATACACAAATTTGTTCAAGAGCTTGATCCAATCCAATATGGTGTATATATAATATATATTTTGCGTAATATTTGTTTTCAAAAAACATTGATAAATATATATATGTATATGACAATTTATATATTGCCTGAACTACAAACTAATTTGGATAATGTTGCAATTGGGCTTTCAACTAACTTATATCAAAATTGTCTTCAAATTGCAAATAGTTTTACAATCTTCTTTTTTTTTTTATACATTAGTTTGAAATCTGTATTACTAGAGTAAAATTCTTCGAGAATTTGTAAACTCTAAAGCTGTCGCAACGCTATAATAAACGTATTAAGAACTAGAAGAAGCTACTACCAAAACTCGCACTAAATTAGAAAATTATTACGCATTACTTATTTTTGTTTTTGTTTTTCTTTTTTTTTTTTTTTCTTTGTCTACTTTTTGGGCTGCGCGACTATTTGGCCTACCCCTAGTAGGGATTGAACTTGTTGCGCGCCTTTTCCGACTCGACGCCTGCCTCGGCCTGATGCTGCCGGAAGCGCGAGGTCGCATAGTGACCCTTGGCACGGTTCACGCCCGTGGTCTGGACCGGCGGACCGCCGGGCGTGCTATTGCCATTGCTGCCCAGCGAGGTCAGGCTGAGCAGATCCAAGGCGCTTAGGTTGGATAGGGCGGTGAGTGCGCCCGGTTTGGTCAGCAGCTGCAAGGCGGAGGCTAATGGACTGCCGCCCAAAGCAGCAGCAGCAGCTGCTGTTGTTGTATTTATGCCCAAAGTTACGGCGTTGCTGTTGCCGTTGTTGTTGTTGCTGCTGATATTGTTGTTGTTGTTGTTGGTGCTGTTCTGTGTGCCATTTGTGACATAATTGGCGGCGCTGCTGCTGCCATTGCTGCTGGCCGAGCTGTTGCTATTGTTGCTGCTGGCGCTGTTGCTGCCGTTGACGTTCACATTGCTGCTGCTGTTGCTGCTGTTGTTGTTGCTGTTGTTGCTATTGAGCGACAAGCAACTGTTGCCATTGACACCGCCAGCAACGACTGCTGCTGCTGCTGCGGCTGCTGCTGCTGCTGCCGCCGCCGCTGCTGTTGTTGTTGTTGTCGTTGCTGTTGTAGCTGCACCACCAGCACCAGCAGCGGCAACACCACCAACAGCTGCCGCCAGCCCAGCAGTGCCATTCTGTGCTGCCTGATCCTGAAGATTGGCCTTCTGCAGTTCAACGCTGTGGATGAGGTACACAGAGAGATAGATAGAGAGAGAAAGAAAGAGAAAGGAACTTATGGGATATTTTTGATTTTTTTTTTTTCTTTTGTTCAAAACATTTTTTTTTTTTTTTTGTGATTTTGTGGAATTGAGTTGGTCATTTCTTTAAATTTTTTTTTGAATTGCTTTAGTGTTTTGTTATGCAAAAAAGGTTAAGGAGGTTTTTGTGTGGAGGAACGGTACGGAGTTAACGGATAGATAGCAAAGCTCTAAAGAGAGCTTTTTTTGGGCGCTATGTTTTGGTTTGTTGATGGTTTGGGAGCGGCGTTCAAAAAAATGGATGTTAGGAGTAGAAAACTTGTTTATTTGACTTGTTGTAGTTGTTGTTGTTTGGGCTTGGACCGAAAAAACAGTATTTAAAAGTTTGCAGGATTATAAAAAACTTGATTTTTGGTGGGAATTTTGGTTAAGTTTAGTTTGTTGCGGGTTGGGGAGAGAGGAGCATAGTTTTTATATTTTTTTGGTAAAATATATATTTAGGTTGATGGGTTGAACTGCGGCTTCTTCATATTTTTTTATTTTTTTTTTTTTTATTATTTTTTTTTTTTAGTATTTTGAAGTACCAATTTGTTTTCAGTTCCAGCTGCGTTTAGATTTTGCGTGTGTGTGCGAGAGAGTGCGACGCGTGACGTTGTTTTAGTTGAGATGCTGTCCATTTAGCTCCTGCTCCTCCTCCTCCAAATCGACTGCTGAGCTGAGTTTATATCATATACATTGTTATACTAGATGCTAGGTTATATATATTTTTATATAGAATTAAACGTTTGTTTTTGTATTGGTTTGTTTTTTTTTTTTTTGTTTATTTATTTTTTTAGTTTTGTTTTTAATAGATTGGTCTGTAAAACTAGAGTTTAGAGTTTAGCTGGTGCTGAATTGATTTAGATTATTGCTTGTTTTATTATATTGTCTATGTATGAAATTGTGCATTACATTTCAGTAGATTTTGGAGCTACAAAGATGAGACATAAGCAGTTAGGTGCTGAATGCGGGCTTACGACTTATACTTATAGAGAGTAGAGTAGAGAGTTCAATTGAGTACTGAGCTTAAGCTTAAGTTAACAAGAGTTTGAACGCGCTGCCCCAAAACTGCTCTGCATAGTTTAAGACTCTATCAAAAAGAGATGACTGAGAGACCGAGACGACCGATACAACCGATACGACCGACGACCTCCTTAGACCTTGTTTTCTCACTTTGTCAATTTGCAAATCAATTCGACAAAATTTTCATTTAGACAACAAACATACATACATACATACATAGAGACAATCATACACAAATTTAGATTTGATATACATAGATAATTTTTTTTTTTTTTTTTTTTTTTTTTTTGCATTTCAAACTCACCTCATGTTGATTAAGTATTGGGCCAATGCCACAGAATCCGGATTACCGCTTATGGTGATGGTGCGATCGGTATTGCCGCCCTCGCGCTCCTCACAGTTGGAGATGCGTATCATTGCGCCGGAGATCTGACGTATTTCGGCAATTTTGGTGCCGCCCTTGCCAATGATGCAGCCAATCAAATCATTCGAGACTGTCATCTCATGCTGCTGCTGCTGTGCCCGATTCGCATTGGCCGTGCGCAGCTGCGAGCCAGCCAAGGCAGCCAGAGCTAAAGCAATTAACAATAATAAATGAGAGAAGAAAGTAAAAACAATTTTCATACGTTAATTCGGCATTATCCCATTGTAGTATATCATGGACTTACCTGTGTGATTTATGCCACCGGTGCTGGCGGGCGTCATGCCGGCCAGGCCCAAGGCAGCCAAACTGGCCAAAGGATTCTTGGCAACCTGTTGGGAAGGCAACCCGACATTAAAATCAATATTCACATACTGCTTATCTGATTCAGTTTGTTATTATTATTATTATGATTATGTTCTTGATAGAGGAAGTAGTATATATATTATATAAGTATATTGAGAGAGATATGGGCACAGAATTAGTCTCATGTTTTGGTTTGGTTTTAGTACACAACATTTTCTTTTGGTATAGTAGAGTATTAACTTGGCTGGGGTAACACAACACAACGCGCGTACAGCAAAAAAAAAAAAAAAAAAATCATAAAATAAATACAAATATACAACTTAAATAAAACCAACTCAAACAATAAATATACATAGAATATTTATATTTTATATAGAAAATAAATGCATCAAAAGCAAAACCAAACAGAAAAAAAAAACAATTTTGTTTACATTATTAGACAAATATTATTAACATTTTTATACAGGTTAGAAAAAACATGTTAAATTTATGTTCAAGTGAGTGTGATTGAGTGTCTGTGTGTGTGTGTGTATGTAAATGAGTGTTTGTTTGAGTTTAATTTGTTTGTGAAAGTATATGAGAATTATATTTTGTGGCAAATTCTAATCTTTAAAAGCTCTACGCAATATACAGAAATAGAGACAGAGAGTATGAAAATACAGTTATTTTTATAATATTTCTAATAAAACGTTTTGATTTTTTAAATATATTAATAGAGTAGTATATATACAAATGTGTTCATGAAAATAGTTTTGCTGCACTACACAAAATATAAATCGATAGAAACTTAAAGTAAATTTTCCAATGAAAAAGAAAAAATTGCCCACTTTTTGTTTAGAGTAGAATGCAAAGAGATTTCTATTTAAATTTCTATATCTTTGCTCATATTTCATTTGTTTACAGAGATAACTTAAAGAGATGCATGAATAAGCGAACTTCTATAGAAATAGTTATCAGTGTAGGAAGATTATCTATATAATCGTAGGCACTTAACAAAATTAATTATAAATATTAAATATTTTATTTTTTTAACTGACTGAAGTTTATTGAATTTTCATCTTCATTTTATTCAAGACTATGATTTTCATGAACACATAAATATACTATAAGAAGAGCAATATACTGCAAAAGCTAATCAGAATATAAAGAGTAAAGGCAGTAAGAACTTGAACTTGACCTCATAGCTAAATATTTAAGTTACCAAATAATACCCTAAATATTTGCTAAAATTATAATTACAAAAGTATAATAATTTCTTTCCACTCTGACCTATTTGAATGACCTATAGGCTGTCAGTGCTCTTTCTTTTTATACAATTTTCCTGCATCCTGTATGAAATTACAATACCGAACCCTTAACCCCATTCCATTCATAGCATCTAGGGCATCAATAACCTAAAATTCTAGCCTAAAACAAATAGTTTTTCTTGTTCTCTTTTGCTCAACTTCAACTTTTCAAAAACTTGCATATTCATAGGCATCGAGAGATTTGCATCCACAACACCTACAGCAAATAAGACACACACGCACAGATATATGCAGCATGTGCATGTACATATATGCATTATATATATACAACATATACGTCTATACATATATATATTTTTTATGTATATATGAGCAGGGTTGGGTTAGACACGCGCTTTGTAAATTAATCAAATCAAATGCAAACTTTTGTAAATAATGAATGAATGAAAGTTGCACAGATATAACTACATATATATCTATATAAATACATATATATATATACAAATGCAACTAGGGGAAAATATAAGCCGAAAAAAAAAAAAACTGAAGGGTAGAAAAATCATCAAATATTGAAATGAAATGTTTGTGTGTAAAGCTGTGTGTCTCTGAAATCTACATATATGTATATCATATATTTAGTATATAAAAACTTTGTGTGTGTGTGTGTTTTTTAAATCAAATATTTATCTAACGCACAAACAAATGTAACATGCTCGATGCTTCACTGTATGAAGAATAAAAAAACAGCAATATTTTTTGCTTTTGCATTTTTACAAATGGAAATGAACTTGCAACTCAATAACAAGAGGGAATTTGGCTGAGAGACGGAGGCGGGTGCGGGTGCAGGGGCGTGGTCGGTCGTCATAGAAAGTAGCGTTTGGCATATTAAATAAACATATCTTGTTGCAGCAAAAAAAAAAAATATATATAACAAGAAAAGGAAACAAATGGAAACAATTCACAAATGATGCTGCAACCAAGTTTTGTGTCATCATAAAAATGCATTTGATGGGTTGTTCGGAGCACTCTCCCGAGTGGCGGGATTTTTAGTGTGGCTCAACTAAAAGGGAAACAAAATGGGAGCAAAAGCAAAAATAAACAAACGAAAAAAAAGAATATAGTAAGTAACCCACAACAACTTTGTGATCCAACAGTTGCTTGGGGATGAGGCGCATATGGGGACACATGGGGACACACATAACGTTAATGTTATTGAAATGTGTCCTGACCACACAGTTGCTGCAACACGGGCATCGTAAAAGAAATGGCAGAGGTAGTAAAGGTACAACTACAGCAACACAAACTACATATATATAGAGAGAGAGGCTGGTTGGCTAGCTGCTGGGTGGGAGGGTACTAGAGGGGGGGTAACACAACTACAGACTGTGTGTGTGTGTGGGGTGAGATGTACAGAGGAGCAGGAGCATACATACGATACACGGAGTAACAACAAACAGCAATGCACAAACACAACGGTATAACAGAGGGGGGCAGGAGCTGTCAGGGGCGGGGTTTGGTTCGTACAGGTTGATGTACAGCTAGAGGGTACATAGTTCAAATACAGCAACACATGCCAAAAAAGAATCAAATGCTGTCCTGGCTCGCAAGCTTCGACTTTTTTTTTCAGGATATGTATGTTTCATTTTCATTTTGATTTTGATTTTGATTTGCTTTGTATTATTTTTTGCCGATTTATTTGGAATTGTTGTTATTGGTATTTGGTATTTGTTGTTGTATTTTCGGATCAATCAAAACTCACATCGGGCATTTGCTGTAGGTGATGGTGGTGTGCTGGTACCGCTCCTGGTAAATGTGCCCCCTTTAACAAAGGATCCGCTAAGCCTGAAATACCAGCATGTAGACCACCGGTAGCCAAAGCAAGTGGAAATACTGGACAGGTCTAATAGTATTACATTTTTTTAATTCGATTTTTTTTTTTTCGATATTGTGTTCGTGGAATTTGAAGGTATTTTTTATTTGTTGTTGTTGTTGTTTTGCAAAAGTTTTCAAAGAAGAAAAAAGTAGAAGAACAAAAGTTGATTTACCAAACATAAATTTTGAGCTCAAATATCTGTTGTTTAATTTTTTTTTTTATATATATTTATATATAATTCAAATAGAAAGCTTATAAAATATATATATGTGAATATATATTCCTCTAAAGCATTTTAGTTGGAAGCTTGCATAGATTCTCGTTCATTGGGACGGAGAAAAAGCTTTTGTAGGTCGAAGAGAGAGTGAACAAAAAAAAGTAGAGTGTGCAGAGTTTTGGTGTAAACGAAGGCAGTTCATGAATTTTAATATATGACAAAAGTTTGGAGTTTTGGTAATTTATTGCAGAAAAAATAATAATTATAATACAAATGATAAACACAACTAAGAGAACAAACTAACAGAGGAGTGGGCAAACGATTTTGGGTCGGAATACTGTTGCCAGATCGGGTTAGCAAACCGTGAATGGATACTAAAAGTACTTGATGAGCGAAGGTCAATAAGTTAGTCGCAGTTAGCTGTCAATTTAGTGCCCAAATATAATCATAAATTATTTAAGGCACAGGTGCACACCCAGGTGCCATACTAACTTATGCTCTTTGTGTACCTAATTGACAACCGCTGGACCGCGACTATTGACTGGGATTATTCATTCAACACTACACGCCGCATTAAGCTAAAAACCAACACCGACAATAACCAAGGGCGGGTAAATAGAGAGAGAGAGAGAGAGAGAGATAAAGAGAGAACGAGAGCGAGAGATGGTATAACTATTTTGTTTGAATTATTGTTTTTGTTTGCGGACATTAATTGAATTTGAAGTGACAACAAAAACTTTTTGTTTAGTTTGCAAACTATATTTGTTTGGCACAAAGTGGCTGGCGAGGGCTTAGAGGGATTGTTGTTGCTGTTGCTGCAAATTTTGGACGGGGGAATCAAAGAGATATACACGATATAGATATATACTATATATATTTTGTATATACGGACGAGAGTAGAGTTGAGTGATGTGAGGGCTCGGGCAGGACGATATTTGAATAGTATGTTGTTGCAGTTGCTAATTGTATTATTATTGTTGTTGTTGTATTATGTTAAATGTTGTATAATATACGTATACATATACATACATACATACATATATGCAAACATATATATATGCATATGCATATTTAAAACACCTCTAAGGTATCAGCATTTTATGAGCCGACACATAAATTATTCTAGCTGCTGCTGTTGTTGTTGTTGTTGTTTTTGGTGATTAAAATTGTCGCGGAAATGGGATTTTGTTGTTTTGGCAAATGAACTTAACATTTTAATATATCTGTATGTAAGTATTTACTACACAAAAATTAAGAGTATTAAGTTTTGTATATATATTAAAAATATATTATACCGAAAATAAACGTAGGATAAATAGAGCAAAATTTGATTTTTTTTTTTTTTTTTTTTTAATTTTTTTGGGTTTATCAGTTGAAATACTTTTAGTAATTGTTTATCACTCAAAAGGTTTGTTGTGCTTCTTGTTTATGGGGTATATTTATATATATGTGTATTATTATTATTATTATTTTTTGTTTAATATATTATAGAGCTAGTGTAGTTTGAACATACTTCTCCACACGCTGCACGCGAGCCCTCGATTCGATTACAACACACACAGAGATACAGAGAGAGTAGAGAGAGTGACTGAGATAGATGAGAAACCCATTCTTTTAGTTTTGTGTGTGGTTGTGAGACTAGTGAAGCCCCCGCACAAAAACTCACTCGGTTGTAGAACCCTAAAACCAATGATTCCAAAAGTGCGGCCGCCCCCTTTTCCAAAAAAAAAAGGGCAGACACGACGCACTTGACGAAATCGAGCCAGAGAGAGAGCTGACACTCTCATTACAAGCTCTTAACCTGAGAGAAGAGAGTGCGAAAGAAACTAAAAAAAGAACACAAAAAAAATTATGTAAAAATTTATTTAAAAATATTATTAGATATATTTATTAATCAATATTTTCTTTTAGTTGCTGCTGTAAATGATTGAAATTAGTTCTTTGATTTTCGGAGGGGGCCACCTTTTGGACATTTGAAAATTGACTGGGTTCAACAATACAAGAGATATAAATATGTGAATATGAGCGCAAAGAAACGGTAATCGACTGGGTGTAATAAGTGGACAAAGAGCACCCACAGTCGGACAGAATCCAACTGAGGGCTCTGCGGGACATTTCAGAGAACTGCGATGAGAGTGGGTTACAAGTCGGTTCGGCTCTAGACAGCTGCCAAGGTTCAAGGGATTGTTTGATAAAAGTTTGTGGATAACAAAGATAGAGAGATAGAAAGAGAGAAAGAGAGAGGTGCAAATAATAAAAAGGTATTCTAAACGAGCATTGGATATAATTATAATTAGAGTGGATGAACAAACTAAAGACTCTTGTTTTATACACAAAGATAGGCATAGAGAGAGAAATGTACATAAAATCAATTGAGTTAAGAGTTGAGGCAAACGGTTTTGTTTCTTGACGCGCATAGTGGTAGGTAAACCAAAGTAGTTATAATAGCCAAAAATAAAGAAATTATTTATAGATAATATAGACAACAGAAATGTTATTTAGCTTATGAAAAGAATGGCAATATAAAAGTAAATGAATATTGGATTACGATGTAGTTGGAAACAGTTAAAATATATAGAAATTAAGATAGATATATAGAAAGATTCGGCAGTAACTAGCTATAGAATGCGGCGTTATATTTGATCTCTTCAAGTAGATCATAAAAGACGGCTTAGACTAGACATAAATAAATTCTAGGCACTGTTTAACATACCTCTTGTGTGGGCACCGCATAATTGCCCTGTATGGTAAAGGCCTGTCCGTTGGCCAGGATAACGGGTCCAGTTACTTGCGGCTTTGGTCGATACGGTATGGTAGCACCGCGTGGCGGGGACTGTTTAGGGGGAAGGAGAAAATATATTAGTTTGTGAAGTTGAATGTTGAGAATAACTACAAACTAAATCATTTGTAATACTTCTTAAAAGTATTATGCATCTATCTGACCATAGATGGCGCCACAACTTGCTCTGTGCTCACAATAAAATGGAAATGTGATTAATTTCATCACTAGATTACAAGAATTACCCATTTCAATTCATGTTCAATTATTTCAAGGTATAGCAATCGAATCATAGCGCTATCCGCCTATAGATGGCGCCACCTGTCACTTTATTCACTTTAGCTTTGTCCAACTTACCTCCAACATGACAAGACATATCTGATAGATGCATTGGGTTATCTGCTCAGCGCTGCCACTCAAAGTAACCGCACGCTCCGTGGAGTTTGGCAACATTTCGCTGGCCACCTGTATGGAGCAGCCTGTGGTTTGGCGTATTTCCTTAATCTTTGAGCCACTCTTTCCTACATGTCACAGCGCATTAGCATAATAGAGAGAGAGGGAAAGAGGGAACAATTTCACATTTCGTTTCTTTATACATATTTAATTTATGTGTCCATACACACCAATTAACGATCCACATTGACTGGCGGGCACAATCAATCGAATGGGTATTTGAGTTTTACCAACTTTGCCAACATCATTGAACTGCGAGCACCACTGAAACGGGTTTCAAGTTAGTAATGTGAAGCGTGAGCTTATTTCAAGAATTGAGTACAACAAACACCATTCTGCCAAAGACTTTCTCTAGCCAAACTGCGATTGTTTGGCAGTACTCTCATATATTATACTATATACTTAATATACATATATCGTGTTTGTTGTATTAATTATTGTGTGTGTGTTTTTCTGTCTTATGCAATCGACTGTGCGGCTGGGCAGCCGTTTCAATCTAGCGCACACATACCTCTTCAAATTTCTTTGTAATTAGCGTAAATGCCGAGAAGATTGCATTTGTTGTGCCAGATACCGTTACAATGCGTTCCGGGCATGAGCCATCCGAAATGTTAATTTTGGCACCAGACTGTAAAGATTTATAGGCGGTTAGATAAATATAATGTAAAGTGAGTTGTTTCTTTTTTTTTTTTTTTTTTTTTGTCTATGCTTACCTCTTCGCGAAATCTGTTGACAATTTCACCCTTTTTACCAATAATACTACCAACTTCCTGTAAAGAGAGAGAGAGAGAAAAGATATTGTATTATTATGAGAAATAGGCATTTTTCAATATGTAATATATTTTAAGAACTTCTAGATCGACAAATTTATGTTATCCAAAAAAACAAATACTTATACCATATAAGCTAGTAGATTAAATATTTATATTTATGTAATGCGCAGTCATGAATTCTTAATTTAACATTATTATATAATTTATTACGTTATATATTATTTATATTATTATTATTATTAGACATTACAATAGCCTTACGATCCTTTAAAATTGTATATTCAAATTTATATCTAATTTGTGAAATTCTTTTTTATTTAATAAAAATTAAAATCTAGTTGTAAAGAATAAATAAATAAATTTCTTTATATCTTACATAAGATCATTTTATAGTGTATTTAAAATCAATCTATTTCCTGCAATAATTATTATTTATTTCTGTATTATTATTTATAATATTATTTATTTAGTAATATTTTTTATTATTACTCATTTATTATTATTACTTATTGATTATCTCTTCTGTATAAAATATGCTCATATAGAGTGCTATACAAGACTCTCCATTACTTGGCTCAGTTCACATATGTTTTTCAGTTTATTTCATTTTCTATTTTATTTTGCCAGCAACTGCTTCAGCGATGTGCAAATTCGATTAAATATTAAGTGATATTATAGCAAGTGTAAATGTATGCGTGTATACCTCTCTTTTCCACTCTATCTCTCCCTCTCTTTCTCTGTGTGTGTAACTACTTTTGCATATTTAAGTGACACAGAAAGCGATTCACATGCAAACCAAAACCAGAGCTCCAATCGTGGCCCCTCGCCACCCCCCGCATCCACACACGTACAGAAATTGACGCTCGTAATGAAATTTGCGGGCAACGCGTTTTACGCGTTTTAATTGATTGTAAATATATGGCATAGCCGCAAGGGTGCACACACATACACAGACACTCATATATATCTGTATATCTATATGTATCTGCATCTATGGAGCAGCACTTCACTCTGGTCTAATTGGCCGTCCTGCAAAAGTATTGAAACAATTTTGCTACTCACTGAAACTTGAACAAGTTGTGCACACAGCAATCAATAACTGCAAAAATATATATATATAAATACATACATACATACTTATAGAAAACGAAATAACCAAACAACAAGAAAAATAACAGAATATCGAGAAATAAATCACATTAATTACACAGCAGCTGTCAACTCCACTCGTGTATCTATGGAAACGTGTTGGAAATTTTCAACTTTGCCGAAAATTTTTCTATTTTATTTTTTCTTTATCTCGTTTTGCGTTTATTGAAAATTGCGTTTTGTTTAAAGGCATTTATTAAAAAATGCATTTTAATTGGAATTTAAGCCAGAATGCGCTTGATTGACACTTATATCATACTCAATTTTAAATATCAATTAAAACTGCAGTCACAATTCAATTCGATGCGAGGCATCACGGCTCAGCCAACAACCGTTTTAGGCCAATTAAAATAATTTTAGGCTGTTCTATGACAGTTTACTAATTAATACCGGAATGCCATTAATCTTACAAAGTAAACGTCAATACATTGAGAGATCGAAATAACTGACGTGAATTGCAACCGATTAGCATTAGGCAAATATTCGATTAATGCAAATGCTAATTCAAAGACCCCTTGGCTATGTCTAATGCGGTTTTCTGGACATTACGAGTGTGGACTTGAGAGTAGACCATTGCAAGTTTATGAAGATTATGACAAGAGCTTACGGGAATGCATTAATTATAATGTAAATCTAGTCTAGTAAGTAATCAATGAAAATTATGAAATATCAATTACAGTGGCATTAATTTACTTTATGAACGATAACGACATATTTTATTTATTTTATATAGCAAAATATATACTAAGCATGAAATGAATTTTCATTTTCTTGAATAATTTGAGTTTATTAATTCTTGAAATTCTCAGTCTTTTATATTTTGTATTCTCTCGAAAAGCTAACAAAACAATTTAGAAATATATTTTTGTATGCTTTGTTATATTTTTAAATGTATTAAATTCTTTTTAAATATAATTTAAAAAATTATAATTATAATAAAATAAATTATATTAAATTATAAAAAATAATATTAATAAAAAATAACGATATTTAAATGAATTACATTATATTTAATTATTTCACTGTTTAATTGTATTTTTTTTTTTTTTTTTAAGATGAAAAATACATTTAATAATTTCAAATGAATATATATTTTATTAACAGCATTCGGCATCTCGGTCTATGAGACCACCTACACAAAACTCCACTGCTCGCTTTTTATGTCAATTTAATCTTCGTATGCTCAGCTGCACTCAGCGCACAGTGAGCGAGCACAGTTAAAATGAGCATAGGGAATATGAAGCCAATGGGAGCGACACTCCCAGTCTAACAAATGCAACTCCAAATGCTGCTCGTAAAACTAACTGCAAACACTGCTCCTATAACTCCAGAATTCAAGTCGCTCGCTCAAACTACGTATAGTTTTGGTTTCTATAGAATTTTCTGATTTAAAAATAAATAAATATAATACATGATTTACAATCTTGTTTTGTTTCAGGACTCTGCAACTTAGGTTCGGTCAGCTATTGTATCATTTGCAAATATATATTATGCTATACATATTGGTGCCCTTTTAAATATATTTTCTTTAGCAAAATAATATTTAAGTCACTTTTTTTTCGCACTTTAAGGATTTAGTACAACAATCTTTGTTAACCTTCAAACAGCGCAGTTTATGCGGCTGTCGCAAAGTTTATCTCAATATCTAAAAGCCTATCCATGGCCACGCACACACACACACACAGGTACATCTCTACATACACACAGACACACACACATGCTTAGACAATGCAAGGTATAAGTATTTTGGGCATTTTGCCAGTCTGTCACAAAATGCAGAAGCAAAAGCAATAAAAGTATGATATTGTCGCCCCCTCCCCCTTCCCCTTCCCTTCCCATCCCTGCCACCTCAGCCAACTCAACTGAATCTATGCAAAAATTATACTTGTCTTGGCTTTTGTCGCTGATGGCTTTGGTTTGCTTTTGTGGGCCATTTTGCATTTGGCATTTTTGCCAGCTACTTGTGCACATTCATATATAATATTTATGCCCATGGTGCTAGGCTAAATGGCCGAAATATTTATTAGACACAAATGTCAGAAGGAATTGCCATAATTATTAGCATGATTATGGGTCTATGCGTTTATTGCGTTCTTATGCTTGTCTGCACTCAAGACAAATTTTGACGGCGCTCGATAATTTATGGGGGGCCTTCTCTAGCAATAAGCATTCAAGCTCACACACACACAAACACACACAGAGGCACAGACACAAAGTGTATTTCTCATATTTGAAGTAGCCTAAGCCAATGGCTATTAAGTTTGATGTGCTGCTCATTAGCGACGGATGCTCATCATCATTAATGCGCTCTGGTCAAAATGCGGCCATTACCTCCACGTTCATCGCCCCCTTCACCAACCGCTTCCGCCCCTCCGCCCGCACTGTCAGCTTTTTCCTTCTGTCTCAGTCTCCTGCATATCAATTGCCATTTGCGGCTTAGAAGCTTACGCAATTTGCATAAATCTGTATGGGTCAAGTGATCAGCTTTAGACATTTCATATTCCTATACAATACACACACACACTCACACACACATGCATGCATGCATACATGTATACAGATGAAATCTCTGCACTTTCACTTGATTGCATTTTGCAACTGCTGCTCCTTTTGCTAAATGCCGGACAAATTTCTCCACAAAGTACACCGCACCACACCGCACCACACAGACAGCAGCAACAGCACCACCACCGTCAGCACCACACATTTTACATGGCAGCAATTAAATGCTAAAATTTTGCACTTCCAACATTTGCAAGCAACCCATGCATCGATTTGTATGCAAAAATTCACTTTTGCGGTTGTGAATTCAAAATTTTGCATGTCATTTCATGTTTTTGTTGTCGTCATGTATGTGTGCGTCGGTGTCCGTATCTGTGTATGTGTGCTATAAAATATGCATGGAGGAAGTGGCTAAAAACGAAACATTGTGCACATTACTGTGGTCCACTACATGCATTCACGCACACGCACACACACACACACACGTACGCACACACTTGGACATCAGCTTCGCCAGCTTCGAACAAAAGATGCAGATTTTTGTTTATGATTATCGATTGCTAGCAAATATTTTGAGCTGAAATTCATTCAGTTGGAAATATATAGAAAAACAAATGGTAGACCGAACTGCAAATGTATATCATTTGAATTTATTTTTTAATTACTTAAAATGACTTTAATGCACTTTATCTATAGTATATTGTGTATTGGAATTTCCATTGAAATTAACAAGAAAAGAAAATGGTTTTCCAAGCAGTTGTATAGGAGATTATTGAATTGCACTTTCATTATAGTTAAAACCTAATGAGATGAAAACTAGCAATAGAAAGGATTTTCAAAGGCATAAATTGTTAATGAAATGAATATTTAAAATGAAAAAATTGATTTTAAATATTCATATCAATTTTTAAAATACATATTTGTGGTATACTTTTTTATTTTATTGATATTTGTTTAGATAATATATTATGGATATTTGTTTATATACTTTTTTGGGTATCTCTTTAAATATCAGTTTTAATATTTTTTTTAATCAATTGAATTTTAATATACCAACAAAATTGCTATAAAAACTATTACAAACATATATGTGGAAATCGATTTACATAATAATTAAATATATTTATTTACAAATGTTTATTGAAATTAATTCGCTTTGAATATTATGGAAATCGTGGCAGTTTTTAATTTTATATCAGTATAAAATATTTCCATTTACTATTTATGATATTGAGAAGTCTATCAGTGCCTCTACATGCATTTCGACATTTGTTTTCAGGCAATTAGTAATGCTTGGAAAGAGACGAAGTGCAACTGTTGTTGCTGTTACTGTTATTTTAATCAAA